TTGGGAAGGTTCCACCAGAAGGTAAATTTGCTTTGATCTACATTACACCTAATTGAGTCACCACCGATGTCTCTATCCTAACATCAAGAAATGTGAAAATGTTAGATTATTTCACTGGGGATTAAACCTAATTTTCGCGTGTTCTGCATTAACCTATTAGGCTGACTCATCTGCATTGCTAATGTAGCTCAGGCAGCTGTCACTGCTAAAGAAAAACATGATCATGCAATCCTTGAATGAATGATTTCAGCTCTGATTAGTGTTACTGAAGTTAGCTGAGCCCTAGTGATAAGGAAAGAAAATTCCCAGGTTGCCAATAGCTTTGAAAATTATCAGACTGTAGGCAAAAAAAAAATGCACCTCCTGACTCACAGGCTCAAGTCCAAATGGAGAGATGAGTGACATTATTTAAGGCTGCTGCCTATTAAGGCTAACAAAAAAATATGCCCTGAATAAATGTGTTTGTTTCTTTTAAGGAGAACTAATGCAAAAGATACATATTAAAATGCTAATAGAAAACAACCCAAAATAAAAAAAATGAAACTGTTTACCTTTACTCTATTAGCATTTTTAAATGGTTAGAAAGCACCGCATTGCTTGTATATAATATGTTTCCATGTAATTTACATATTCACTGTTACTTTAAGTCCCCCACCCTTTTGTATTCTATTATTAACAATGAAGAAAACAAGACAGGAAAATAGGATTAACATATCTTGTATTATCTTTTAACATTTAGTTTAATTGCAGTGTGTATATCAATATATTTTACTATGTTACAAACACTCTTGTAACCTTGAGCCTTCCTTTATATCCTCCTATCAGATTTAAATAGTAAGAAAACAATAACGAGACATCTCCTTGAGATGTGAACATTTTTTTGGAATGAGTTCGCCTCCTAGCAATGGAACCAGGAGCCAATTTAATCCGATTAGCACCTCCTAACAATAGATGTTCCTCACCCATTGTGGACAAAGGCTTTTACTTTATTTGTTTCTATTAACCACGCAATCTCCACCATCAGAAAAGTGGAATTTCACCCACAACAGAATGCTCAGGCAATCAACAAAAAAACAAATTTGAGAAAATAGTCTAATATGTCAATATTTATCTTTTGCCCCTAATTGTCTGTAAAGAGGACTTGTTGAGTGTGCAAAGTTTGCTGCACTGGTTTATCTGTGCGCTATTGATTCTCCCTATTGTTTGGCTTTAGTGGTAGCTGTTTGCCGTGTATTAGGAAGGGCAGCAGCAATAGCAGAGGCAGAATAGGCACATTTTAAAGGAAAAGCACTTGGACTTGTAGACCAAACCATAATCCTAGAAAGAAATATATATATAAAGAAGTTTAAATAGAAACCTCCATCTCATTCAGAATGAATCTGTGAAGCTGCATATCTATGTAACTTTTTAAACGGCATGGATTCTTGCAGTAGCTTTCAAGTTAACCATTTAACTTCTGCCGAGTCCTTGCCCACTAGCCTTTTCACCTCTTTTCCTGTAATGAGTTTCTGTTCTGTTTCTGTTCCAGAGGAAGCTGTTACTGTGAATCTCAGGACCACCTCTACTTTCCCCACTTGGAGGAAAGACAGTGGGCGCAATCTGGTGCATTTTGCATACAGCTAACCAAGCCAGACAAGGACTGGCTCTGGAGTCCAGGTGGAGCTGTGCAGCAAACTTTGCACCAAAAAGCCACGTCCAATCAGATTCATTGAGGCCCAGATGACCGTTGCAATGCAGATCTGAATGCCCATCTAGAGGCAAATCAGCATCTTCACTGAACATACACACAGAAACCTGTTTCCACATGTGGATCTATCTTCCTGAAATGGAGTGACATCTTTCAATGAAACATGCTTGCAAGTCTGTATGTAATTGGAAACCCAAACTAGTGAGGAGGCTCCCTGTCCTTCCTTTCTGCTTATGTGCATGGAATGCTTGCATCTCATTTCCCCCCACAGGTGAAATACAAGACACCTCTGCACCAGGAGACTGCTTAGCACCCACTGGTGAAAATGCAAGTGCTGCGTTTCTGATGTGACATAGTTGCATAAGAGTAGGCAGTATGGCAAATGGGCATGTTATCCACAGCCTCTTTTAGAATGGCATTTCTTCCAATGTAGATTCCAGCTACAAATAAGCAGTGAATGTGACAATCAAATTTGCCTTATATGCTTGTAGAATATTTGGAGAAATTTCATAATGGTTCAGGTCATAGCACTTTTTACCTTTTTTGGCATAATGCATAGTTTGGTTCACTTTATTGAAGTACCTGCAGTTATCTCATGTGCAACGCATCTTGTGCAGCTCCTTTCTGTTCATGGCATCCTGCAGTCTAGATTATGCAGGTTAATCTGAAGGGCACAGATAGGATGACGTGAGGGCAGTTGCAAGGTTCATTAAGATTTGATGGCCTCTTTCTTGCACCATACAGCAATGCATCAAACAGCAGTATTTCTCAAGAAGCTACAGGATACATACGGGTTCTAGATAACACTCTGTTTACTGAACTTTAAACATCAGTTGTGGAAGTGTACTGGAGCTGCAATAGGCAGTAATATGTACACAGCTTCAGATTTGGTGCTGTTTTTTACCCTCTCCCATATGGGTGCCACTTCTTGCCTGAGTGATATCACCTCCTGTATAAAGTTTCCAAACTGACACTTTTCCTCACCTGGATCTGACACCTGCCAGCTGGGACCATTGCTCCTGATGAGCTGTTGGATAGTTATAACATGGTTTATAGCTAGTTTCCACCTTGAAGGGCATCTAGAAGGAAGGCATGGTTGTCCCAGGTTGCATTCTGCATTCTTGTCAGGAAAGACGAGGCTGGATAATCATTCACAACATGATCTTTAGAACTTTCTTTGCATTAAAAAAAAGAAAAAAGTTTGTGTAGCAGCAGTGTAAAGGGCTGCTGGTGGCACAGTGGTCTAAACCACTGAGCCTCTTGGGCTTGCCTATCGGAAGGTCAGTGGTTCGAATCCCTGCGACGGGGTGAGCTCCTGTTGCTCGGTCCCTGCTGCTGCCAACCTAGCAGTTCGAAAGCATGTCAAAGTGCAAGTAGATAAATAGGTACCGCTGCGGCAGGAAGGTTAATGGTGTTTCCGTGCGCTGCTCGGGTTTTGCCAGAAGCGGCTTAGTCCTGCTGGCCACATGACCCGGAAAAACTGTCTGCAGACAAACGCCAGCTCCCTCAGCCAGTAAAGCGAGATGAGTGCCACAACCCCAGAGTCGTTCGCAACTGGACTTAACTGTCACGGATCCTTTTTAGCTTAAACTTAAGCTGCACCTCCTGCCTCCCCCAGCTGAAGGCCTTGTATCAAAGGAAGTGACTGAGTATTGCTGGGATGACATGAAAGATCAATGTGTGGGAAAGTGAAGGTCATGCTGAGATGCATATGAAGCATCACTTTAGAAAGGAGTAGCACTGCCCATTCTGACCAGCACTTGACCTGAAAGGTGGTGCTAACTTCTGGTCCTGGTGCTGCAGTCTTTCAAACGTCTACATCATTGTCAAAAGTCTGTATGAAAGGCAGTGTCAACACCAGCCTGTTCATGCTATGACAGAAATAGAAATATGGGATCAAAGAATGCTAGGTCCTCACACAAAATGGTAGCTGGAGGTGCCTCTCTGCTCTGTACCATAAATGAGGCCATTCTGCAGCCAAAGAGCCTTTCTGGACAAACAGCTCATCATGTCTTCCTCAACCAGACCCTTTAGGCTGCAGGTGGAGTTTATATACAGACATATATAGGAGTGCTTATTCAATCATGTGAACTCTCCCATCTGCAGTCTGGAATTGTGCTGTCGAGAAAGAGCTTTATCATGTGGTCAGCTGTGTCCTCTCAGGAATCTTTGCTTCCTTGAAAGTTGGAGCTGGTGAGAATTTTCACCCCTGGCACCATTTTTATCTTATTTTTTGTTTCATATAATAGGTGCCTGGGGGCTATTGCTTTCATTTTCCAATACTGTGTTTCCAACAGCTACAATCAGAAAAAAGTTAAGGGGAGAAAAGCAAAACAGAAAACAGAAATGGTCATTCTGCTTTGCATGATGAATAAGAGGTTAGCTAAGAAACAACTGCCACCCATCCAATAATCTTCTGCAAAAACTGGAGGAACATTCATTTATGAAGTGGAAAATGCATGTTATATCAGTCTAATTAAGGGATGGAATTAAGAGGAATTTGAATTTTGCTTCTTTATGGGAGAACCACTAATTTACAGATTTAAAATCTCAACAGGAAAAAACATCACAAAGTACTCTGTATGAGTCAATCACACACTGACACAAAAGTGAAATAATGGAGTGTGTACTTTTCATTGCTACAAATTTTCTTCTTTTTTGTCTCAAAAAAACAAGTAATAGGAAATAGAATGATCTTTGAGCCCCTGATATCGCCAATCTTTATACTGTTCCCTACACACAACCATTTATTAAACAACTTACATATTAAATACATTTTATTTGGTTCTAGAATTTTGCTTAATACACTTGGGAGATCTGGATTCAAATCCAGCCTCTTTGTATAACATTGACCACGCTACTTCATTGCTCTGACCTCTTTTCCTTGTCTCTACAGTAAGGGTAATCACCTCTCATCTCCTGCTCCCAAGCTCAGAGTTCTTCAGGTAGAAGAAGCACCTAACTCTTTGTTCATATGGCATATAATATAATGTGTTTTGAATCTTGATAAGATTTTACAATTATTTCTGAGAATACCACAATGGACCAGAAAATCTACTTGGATATTTCTAACCTTGTTTTTAATGTAGTTCAAGTAAAACTGGGATTTACCATTTTAGAAAAAATGAAGAATAGGAAGGGATGCAATCATTAAAAGTGAGGTGCAGAGAATACAAGATGTTCAGCATAGTTGTAAAAGTTACATTACAAATGCAACTATAGAGGACATGCATCAAAAATATCGCGCTACTAACCCTACCCCACAAGCACAGAAGAAAACCATGAAGAAGACGAGGAGAAATAACAAGGAGGAGTGTGTAGCTCAGCTGGTGAGAGTGTGGTGCTGACCATGCCAAGGTTGCAGGTTCGATTCCCCATAAGGGACAGCTGCATATTCCTGCCTTGCAGGGGGTTGGACTAGATGATCCTCAGGGTCCTGACTAACTCTATGATTCTATGAGATAAAGCTTCTGGATTTTTCTTCTCCTCTAGCCTTATATTTGAACTATTCTTATTGGCTGCCATGCATCCGTATATATACACGCAGCCTTGGGTATGTAACAAGTTTGCCCCCTCCCTCTTCTGCGCCTGAGAATGTGGCCCTCAGGCAGGATTCCCCCCAACAGATCATTGGTTTATGACTGCTGTGGTGGCAAACTGATCAGTTCCTGGCACACGTTCCTGGTTCAGGCATAGCAGGGAACCCTGCTTGATGCAAACCAGTTTTCCAGGGTCAAAGCCCGCACATGAGTGGGTGCGAGAAGAGGATGCAGCCACCATGGTTTTATGAAGCCACAGAAGAACATGCAGATGCAGCCTTAATCTTAAGTGATGCCCAGTACGAAATAAGGTAACAATGCAATCAAAAAAACAAGCTAAACACTGGTCTGCATTGCATCACTGGTGAAAATGGGGAAGCCTGCACTTGAGGAAGGGGTTAGTGCATGCGTAAAAATATAAGGAGAGCTATGCTTGCTCAGACCATCAAGGGCTTGTCTTGCCCAGCATTCTGTTTCCAGCAATGGCCAGTGATTTGTAAACTAGTTCATAAGCAACCGTCCTCTACCATCCGCCCCGCCCCTGCCCCCCACAATCTGGTACTGTAACATATATACTGCCTCTGGTCATGGAGGCTCCATTGAGTGTCTGGTAGTTGTTAAATAGACCTGTCCTCCATTAACTTGTCATTGTAGCACCAACAGAGCCACAACGGTTGACGGTTGTCCCCAAGTGACTTAGAAGCTCTCTCCTAGGGAACCACTCTCCTGCCTTTATTAAATACAATAATGTTTAAAGTAGGGAATTTTAGGCTCATTAACTCATTCCTGCTACGTGGCCATTTATTGTTTTCCTGTTTCAGTGGTTGCTTATATTTGTAGTCAATCTCTTTGGATTTGAATATAATATTAAGTAATCTCATCACACTTAGTTCACATTATCTCAACAAGCCTCACAAACAATCCTGTGAGGTAGGTCAGCCTAACGACCCTCATAATGCGGACTGAAAGACTTAGAAGCATAGTTTGCCAAAGGTTACTTAGTAAGTTCATAGCACAAACAAGATCTGAACCAGATAAAATTCTGGTTCACCCAGCACATCTTGTAGCCACAGTGCTTATACAAAAAAGATGAAAAATCGTATCTCCGAAAAAAGAGACTGAAATGGCTCCTAAAATACCACCCTGTTATTCTATCAAAAAGAATTTGTCTGCAGCTTCGCTGAAGCACACACCAGCCAAGTCATCTGGTTCTGGTACTGAAGAGAGTGATGGCTGAACAGTGTTGCCAAACAGATGGTAATTTATTGTCCTAGCCATTGCTTTGATTTACTGGCACGCTGACAGCACTGTATTTCCTTGAATGGATGTCTCGGTCTTTATTTCTTTGTTTTCAGCTGTGCAATGTGGGTGGTGTTGATTTGCAGTGGGACAGCAAATTGTAAGAGCAGGAGCTGCATTCCACTACTTTCTCTGTGCTCTTGCCTGAAACAGATTTCCTTGAAATTTGGAATTTGACAAGATTCCTAACTCTAAAATATCTGAATTCTCATTTTGGCTTTCTAAAAAGCTTATAAACTTTGCACTTTTAAGCACACATTTAAGCACTGAACCCAAAATTTAATGTTGATGATGCTCACGTTTCCTCAAACACAATTTGTTACAGGTTTGTGTTCAATCTCATGTTCTGAAATTTTGATTCTCTACTTCAGGGGCAAGGCACTCATGGCCTTACAGAAGTTGTTGACCGCAAACTTCCTTCAGCCCCCACCAGCAGAGACAGATGAGGAAGTTGCCATCCAACAGCACCTGAAGGGCCACCTCTGATCTACTTTATTTTCTCCTATTTGGGGGAACAATTGATGGTAGCTTTTAAAGCTGTGACCAGTTTTTAAATGTGGCCACAAGCCACCCAAAGTGAAGTCTTTTTATTGGTAGCAGAGAGTAGGCTGTGGTGCTGCCACTCACCTGACCAGGAGGAGGTTGCATCACTGCTGCTTACAGGGAGGAACAAGACCCTTTGGGGGTGTTTGTGAACCCCTCTCTTTGTAGGCTTAGGTTGTATTTATGTGAAAATAAGCCATATATTATAAAGACACCACGGTCTGCTGTGCCTTATTCCCAAAGGAAACACAAACCCTGGGCAAATGCCTGGAGCCCCTGGAAGCTCTCATCGCTTGGAGATCGGGGTGGCATGCAACAATATGTTTCCATTCAGCCTGCTAAAGAGAGAGAAGTCTCAAATAAACAGCTTTCTCAAAGCTTTAATTTGCTGGAGCATGTTGCTAGTATATCCTGCCATGAATTTCAGACTGCAGAAGATTCTGGTATACCCACTATGGTGCACACTCCATTTGCATAGGGCAGACACCAGGCCTCGTATGCACCCAAGTCTCCCCAGAGGCTACATATTGTAAGGGAAAGTGGATAATGGCAGACAAGCTGTCTTTCATGGAAGCTTATCCACTATTACAGATCTTTTAATTGAGGAAGCCCTGATAAGCTTCTAAGGAACCACACGGAATATCACTGGTACTGCATGCTGTGTTGAATTATCAATGGACTGGGAAGGTGCCATGGGGCTTTTTTTAAGAACACACACAAAACAACACAATTTCAGTCAGACACAGAGCCAAACATTTATTATCATCTAATCCTGTTAAGAATTTGTACACCATATGTCAAAACGACGGGACATGTGATGTGTGTACTAATAACTGCAGCCCGTGTCATGTGTGTACATTTTTTATACTGTCCCTGACCTTTTAGTTAATGACTTCACATTATATTCATTGACCTGAAAGAAATTGAATTCAGTTGCAGTCACTCAAGATCTGAATTACAGAGTCATCTTAATTGGTCTATTACGTAAATGTAATAAGAGTTTACCAACTGGATTCCACCCCCCCCTCACCCCCCAAGACATTCCTTAGGTCTGTGTGCCTGGGTTAATAATAGTCATACTAACTACTAAAGCTGTAGTATTGGCAAAATATATACTAATGAGGGGGAGGGGAAGCAGCAAGTCAAAGAAACAGAAAGCACTTCCATGAGTGCTTGAACATTTCCAAGATTGCAACTGCCCTTCCAGCAGACAAGGTGCTTCCAGAGACCCCACAAGCTGGCTCACGAGGCAGAGAGAGGGAAGCCTGTGCTCTCCATCTCTCGGTCGGTGTGGAGAATTTCTAGTATGGCTCTTCAGAGCTTTCAGATGCGATTTAAGCAAGGCTGTTAAAACAGACGTGTGGCAAGGCACGCTCCCCTTTAGTCAGCTCCCCATTAGGCACAGAATATTTGGGGAGTCAGAGATGTTGCTGCAGATTGGGCAGGCGTCATTCCAGAAGCTCTCTCTGTTATTATTTCTGTAGGCAACGGGGAAGGTGGAGATGGATTGACTGATTTCTGACAAGGATCATATCTGAATAATTCCAATGGAACATTAATTGCCAAAACTGCAGAGAAGATTCTTTACTTCCTGTGTTGAAGTTAAAAATGCAAATGTTATTAGTGCCCCGATCGTTGATAGGAGTGCTTTTTTGTGCAGTGCTTTAACCTCCATTAGGGGGGATTAGGAGGACACAACCGCATTGGCATTTTGTAAGTGTCGCTATGACAGCACTTGCTGCACAAATGCCTGGCTGTCACACTGAGGTTTATCGCAGTTTTTCCCCCTCCGAATGCAGACTAATAAACCCAGAAATTACAATTGCCTCCCTGCCGAATCTGTGATAGGCGGAAATAATGATATCAGTGGCCCGCTAATCTCCTTGCCTCCGCGCTTGGCACTAGCCTATTGAGGCACCTGTCACCCTCCGCTTTGATGAGGCGAATTCAATCTCAGCACTGTAATGACAATGGAGCCATTTTCATGTTGGGAAATGATTAGGGGAAGGGTGTGCCTGCTCTGGCATGGGGAGCGCAACTGGGCACTTTGCTCTGTGAGGGGGACATGTGCCAGCCTTCTCCAGGGAAACAGGGGACAAAGCTGCAGCCAGAAGCTGTTCCCTTTCGCTCTCTTAGGTTTTTATACCTCTGACTGCTAGTTACTGGTGACAAACAATGGGGCCTGGTTGTTGCCTCATGCCCTGCAGTCTGTCAGCTTCTGAAAGCATCTCTTTGGCTACTCTAGGAGACACAATGCTGGAACAGAATGATCCTTGGTCTAGGCCAGCAAGGCAATTCTCATCTTTGCTTTCAAGCAGCCTCCTGTTCTCTCTCACATTCACCCTCAGTATCACCATAGCCAGCAGACATCTGAGGAAATATTCATCCCACTGCACCTCAGGCACCCAAACATTTATGCACATACCCCTTTCCCTCTGCACACTTGCAGGGCACGTCCAGCACAGCATATAACTGCACTAGTTAAGCACACACCCTAGTAATAGGGACAACAGTGACACTCTTGACAGAGTCCTCTGTAGTAAGGATGCTCTGTTTTCATGAATCGGACCCAGACCTATAATGCCTTTCCCTCTATGGTCTGCCAAAGTCTGAATTTGGGAATGCATTGTAACCTATAGATAACCAATTTATTCATTGATGTCTGGTTGGTTGATATTCTGCTCAATCTGAAAGGTTCTGAGAGGCTTACATGTTTTAACAACTACATTTCTTAAAAGGGGAAAAGACACAAATAAATTTAATTTTCCCTGAACACCTCCAAAATAGCTTTTCCCCTCAGTGATTCTGAGAGTAGCTTGTATCTGTTACATGTATCTGGAATTAGAAGGATATTAATGCATAAATTAGGATGTGAATTCATTGAACAGAGGCCATTGTTACATTTTCTGCATAGGACTACGCAAATAACATGACACAATTAATAAATGTTATTGAAAATATTATTAGGCTTGGAGATGACTGGCTGGTGCCTGAGGCCAGATTAT